GGGCTGCCCCCACCAGATATGACTTCCTTCCCTACTGTTAGCAATACTGCAGTTGGTAATACTCAAGTTGTATAGCAGTGTATAGGTGTGCATTTACAAACCTATTATAATGATAAAACCAGAATCTGTTATATGATAGGCAACCACTTTCCCTCAGGACGAATCAAGTGCCTGGTTGGGTTGGGTTGGGTTGGGTTGGGTTAAAAGTTCAGTGGTTAACAAGAAACATCAAAGTAGAAAAGGAACAGATAAATGCAGGTTAATAAATTTAACTACTTGGGAACCTGGATAACATCAGATAGTAAATGTGATCATGAAATAAAATGGAGAATAGGGAGGGCAAAAGGTGCGTTTCTAAAAATGAAAAAGATGTTGACAAATAGTAAAATATCTGTGGGGGTGAAGTTAAGAGTTTTGGGTTGCTATGCTATGCCAGGCCTCACGTATGCATCAAAATTCTGGACAATACCGTCAAGTACGGAAAAGAAAATTGAAGTGTCTGAGATGTGGTTCTTAAGGCACATCTTGAAGGCATGCTGGAGAAGTAATCGGAACTCGTGGTAGAGGTGATACCTTTTATTAGACCAACTAGATTTTTGCAAAAAGAAATCTTTAATTGGAAGCTTTTGGGCACAAGCACCCTTCTTCAGGCATAGGAGAAAAGATTGTAAAAGTTCTCCTGGGTAGAAATGAAAGTTCCTGTTTCATAGATTTCATAGACATCAGGGCTGGAAGGGACCTCGGAAGATCATCAAGTCCAGCCCCCCGCCCAAAGGGCAGGAAGTCAGCTGGGGTCATAGGATCCCAGCAAGATAAGCATCCAGTTTCATCTTGAAGGAGTTCAATGTAGGCGCTTGAACCACCTCCGGTGGCAGGCTGTTCCAGACCTTGGGGGCTCGGACAGTAAAGAAGTTCTTCCTTATGTCCAGCCTGAAACGATCTTGAAATAGTTTGTGACCATTCGACCTCGTCATCCCTTGGGGCGCTCTGGTGAACAAACGTTCCCCCAGATGCTGGTGGTCACCCCTGATAAACTTGTAGGTGGCCATCAGATCACCCCTGAGCCTGCGCTTTTTCAGGCTAAAGAGCCCCAGGGCTCTCAGCCTGTCATCGTACTAAAGAGCCCCAGGGCTCTCAGCCTGTCATCGTTTCATAGGAGAGTTGAAGGTTTGGTACAATCTCCTGTTTTGAACAGTTGATTTTATATGCAGATTAGACTCAGAGAAAAGTTGGGAATAGTTTGTTTACTTTTAAGTTGTTTGGTGGTAAGCAGGATGTAGTCATATTTCCTTCTGGTTATGGTGTTTCATATTTCACAGAGGAGTAAGTCACACTTCAAATGAAGATATTTTGTTAAGAGCAGGCTGCAGGAGGAAGCTGCTGATTAACGTCAGAAAAAGGCAGTTGGAGGAAAGAGGAAATTGAAAGTCTGGTCTTAACTGTAAAGACTGAAGGAAGAAGAGATGGTGGAAGACAGAGGTTGCCTTATGTCAAGAGTCTATCTAAATGGATGAATGTATCAACACTGAAAATTCAAAGAAAAGAGATCTGTGGAAGACCATTTTCACCAATGTCCTGTTTGGATATGGTACCTAGAGAGAGAGAGAGAAGTTAACAAGCAGTCAGAGAGGCATTGTAGTCCAGGGGACAGGACGCCTGTGAAATGCTCAAGTGTCACTAAACTGCAGTGCGGCCTTGACCAGGTCAAGGTGCCTCACCTTTTTTAACCCCTATTTCTCCTCCAACCCTTTGTCTGGATTGCTTCAGGCAAGGGTTGTCTGGCACTTCAGTGTTTCAGTGGGGCTTTAGTGGAATAGAGACCCAGCTTCAGTGTGTGCCTCTAGTCCTACTATTACCCAAATATATGACTATGAATAATAATGGGAAGAAGGAAGGGTTGGCCAGGCAGGTGTATGGGCCCTATAATCATGAGGGGCTATTGAACCATCTGCAGGAAGACAACTACATTGGGCTGAGACATTGGACAGGGGAGAAATGGTCCTAGCTGCAATTGTTATTAATTACACATTTTTATTGTTATCAGTTGGACACATTATTACTGTTGTTATTATTGGATACATTAAACCAATGATGAGAGCCATGTATGCCAATAACTGGCCTAATACTCAGTTATGAGTTGGAACTTGGATAGCAATCCCAGTATCCTTTGCCCCTGTTTAAAGATGGAGAGCTGATGTCTGGGTTTCATTTGCAAAGGTCAGCTCTATAAAGTTATTGAGAAGTAGGGCTGGAAGGGACTTCCAGAGGTCATCTAGTCCAACCCCCTGCCTGAGTCAGTATCCAAACTATTCAATACAATCCATATTCAAAACTCTACATAAGACTTTCATCAACCCTAACACAACACAGACTTAACACCCTAATGCTACTGCCACAGGTAAAGCAGGGGAACCACAGCAGCCAATATCCTGCGTCTATGAAATGTTGTCAATATATGCTCAAGAGATCCCCTGCTACAGAGGAAGGCAAAACCCCCCAGGGTCTGTACCGACCTGACCGTGGAGTAAAATTCCTTCCTGACCCCAAATATGTCAGTCAGCCTGATCCTGAGCAGAGGTCTGGTCCCCTTAGCCAGGAACTTCTGGCTTTGGTCCCAGCAGGAGCATTGGCACGCCCCAGTCAAAGTCCCCAGTTGTGGCTGTAGCCAACACCCAATGCCACTAAGGAAGGCTTAAAAACACCCTGACATGTAGCAGAAAGGGAGGAGGGACAAACAGCAAGCCCAGAACCAGGGGAAATACCCACAGTAAAACATAGGCATAGCTACACCTAGATCATCCCCCACCAGTGGCTGTCCAACATCTTGAACACCTTCAGTGATGGCGAGTCCACAGCTTCCCTAGGCAGTCTATTTCACTGTCTCACTGTCCTAATGGTGATGAAGTTTTTTTCTGGCTAGCCAATCTACACTAACTTTGCTGCAACTTCAGGCCATTGGTTCACAACCTTCTCTCTGGAGCAAGAGAGGAGACATACTTTTCCTCTTTATGGCAGCCCTTCAGGTATTTGAAGACTGCTGTTATGCCCCAATCTTATGGCTCCAGGATGGTGCCTCCTTTATTTTCCATGTTTAGTTTGGAGCATGGGCTACTTTGGGGGCAAAGCAGCTCTTTTGGCTGCTGTTGGTTGGTTTGCGGTAAGATTTCCCCCTGCCTTTGTGAACCAGGATCTCTGTGAAACCCAGCATCACAGACCTTCAGCTTTAGATTCTCCAGGGTTCTCAGGTCATCTTCAGTGGCTCTGACAGGATTGGGGAGGCATGGAGAGCAAAAGGGGGACACTGTTGGCCAGCCTTTCAGTGTTGGGAAAGGATGGCATTCTCTTGCATGGGTAAGTGACTGCGGTGGATTGGGACAACTGATGGGTATAAATCCCCAGTCGGTATTTGGACAACCTACACACACACTCATGAATTAACATGTCTGAACAGCAGTGCCTTTGAGATCCTACAAGAGGCTGGTCTCAAGCTGCAACAAGGGAAGTTTTGGTTAGATATTTAGGAAGAACTTTCTCAGCAGAAGGGTAGTAAAGCAGGGGAACAGGTTCCCCAGAAAGGTGGTGGGATCTCCCTCAGAGGTTTATATGACAAAGCCTTGGCTGCGAGGAAGTAGTGGGGGCTGGTCCTGCTTGGAATAGGGGCTTGGACTAGATGCCCTCCTTGGCCTCTTGTGGGCTAACATCAAGTGGGGGCATCGAAATCCCAAGACCTCCAGGCTTAGGCCTGCATGTAGGATGCCTGCCAGTGGATTTGGGAGTACCTGAAGTGCCAGGGTGAGAACTTGAGACGTTGGATGCTGGCTGGTTGCGGCACCATACGCAGCATTCAGAACGACCAGTGCTGTAGCAACAAAGTTTGGCGCCCGGGGCGAAACCCGCAGCAGCAGCTCGCCGTTGCCCCGTGCACATATCTGGGGGGCACATGCCCCCACAATGCTTGCCTGGGAATGCACGCAGCGGCAGGAGCTGCCATTCCCCCATCCCCGAGCCCCCCTAAATGAGCTGCTCGTGGCTCCATCCTATGCCCTGTTGGCATCATGGGCGACTGGTGCCTGCTGAGTCGGGGCGGGGGGGGGGCAGTGCCCCCCCCGACCAGTCATTGACCGGGGGGGAGGGGTCGAAATATTTTCACAAAAAGAAAAAAAAGATGCCCTCCTGAGGTTCCTTCTTCCAGCTCTCCTTGTCCAGGATTCTCAGAAACGCTCATGTTTTTCCCCTGCGGGGGGACGGTGACTGCTTCGAGCCCCCCACGTGGGAGTGCGAGGGGGACGAGCCCAACCCTGCCGCCCCCCGCACCGCCCCGCGCCGCAGCTGGGCGGGGCGGGAGCCGTGACGCGGCTGCGCGAAGCGGAAGCGCTGGGAGAGCCGGGCGAGCGGGGCCGCTTTAAGAGCAAAGCAGCGCAGCGGAGGGAGCTGCCCTAGGTGCGCGGCGCTGGTAAGGTTTACAGCTTTCTCTTGCCTTCGCTCTCTCTCTCTCTCTCCACTCCTCCTCCTCCTCCTCCTCCAGCCAGGCATACTTAAAGGCTTCTAGCAGGGAGCAGAGAGAGAGAAGCCGGCTGGATTTTTGCAGGTGATTTTTTTTTTTCCCTCCCCCCTTTTTTCCTCCCCTGGCTGTTGCTGCTGCTTGTTATCTTTTCTTTCTTGTTATCTTTTTCCTTTTGTTTTGCTTTGCTCCAGTCTAAACATTAGCGAGAGCACAAAGCATCCGCTCTCCTCCTGCCTGCCCACTTCTGTGTGTGTGCGCACCCACATGCAGTGAGTCCATATATGTGTGCATGCGTGTGGCTGGGCATGGGTCCCCACATGCAGTGAGTCCATATAGATATATATGTGCATGTATGTGTGTGTGCGTACAGTTGGGCATGTGTGCCCATATGCAGTGAGTCCATATATGTGTGCATGTGCATGGTTGGGCATGGGTCCCCACATGCAGTGAGTGTGTGTGTGCGTGCGTGCGCACGCACGCACGCACGCACGCACGGTTGGGCTTAAACAGAGGCCAAGTCTGTCCCAGCTGCCCTGAAGATCTGAAGCCCGGGGCTGTCTCTGACACTCCCAGGTTCCTGCTACATTATAAGTTGCCGTCTGGTGATGGCAGTTGATAATTGGTAGCCACAGTCTGCGGTCTGAGCCGCAGGATTTTGTCTAGCACTTGGGCTGGGCCCGGCTGATATGTGTGAGAGAGAGAGAAAGAGAGAGACAGAAAACAAGCTGGCGGTAACTGTGAAACTCTGAGAATGCTGCCTGGCTACCAGGAACCTGAGGCTGGCTGGTGATGCGGTGGGTGCCTGGGGGGGGTTCGCAGAGAGGCTTGAATCCAGAGGACACGATTATGTCCAGTGAACAGCTTAACAGTACATCGGTGAAGGATGCTCAGTTAAAAGACCTGTTGTTGGAAAGAGGTACTCCTGTTTTGCTTCTTTTTTTTGTGTGTTATATTTGCATGAGGCGGATTGCTGGAAGTTTGCTCCCTGGAGTTCTGATCAGAGAGGGGGAGAGGCAAGTTGCAATAGAGCTGCTCTGATCCACAGACCTGCATAAAGACATAAGAGTTTAATATATGCACGTAGCTATTTGTAAAACTTAAGAAAATTGTCCAGATGTTTCCACCTATGTGAATGCAGGTGGATTACACATTCTGTTCTCTGTCCTTGTTCTTCTGTGAAGATGTTTGCTCTGCAAAAGTCCCTTTTTATGCTGTAAGGAATCAGGACTTGTGGTAGAGGTGGTATCTTTTATTAGACCAACTAGATTTTTGCAAAAAAAAAAAAAAATTAAAAAAAAAATTTTAATTTCTGTATACTTGTGAGGTTGAAAAGCAAAACTGGAAAAATTGTGTGACCGAGCCTTTCCCTCAGCGGGGTATAGATGCGCATGTAGGTATATGCACAGAATTTTCCCCATTCAAATCTGTGGGGAAAAAAACCATAACAAAATAAATACTTGGGGGTGGTTGTGGGCAGAGCAGAGATGCCTTTCACATACATCTGTTCACTTGACTGTGGAACTGAATGCACCAGGGAAAATTGTGACTCAGTGTGTGCAAGCTTACAGCAGAAATTGTGTGAATTTCCTTGAGTTTTGTCAATAAAGATAGGCATCTTCTTCTATTGTCATTCTCATCTCTGGTACTCTAATAACTACTTGGAGAGGCTGGGGTTGGGAGGTGGTACAAGAACGGGAAGAGAACATGCTTTTAAAGGTCCCGTGGAGATATTTGTTCTTTTCTGTCTTTATTTTTGCATTTTGGAAACCTGAATTTTGAAAGAGTCTGCATGTGCATGCTGTAATAGGTTACCCTCTGTTTTTATCACTGGAGCATATTCTGATAATATATTTTCAAATTATTTTTCCATTGAGAGAGATCTCAAATACTCCCAATTCCCAAAACATTTATTCACAGAGAGGAGGTACTGCCCCTTCATAGAAATGCTGGGCCCTTGATAAATTTAGAAGACTGCCCTTGGCAGATATAGAAGTAACATGTCATTCCAGTGCTCTCTGCATTCTAGGAAAGCCTAAATCAACATTACTTGTTTTGCATGTTGCCCTTTAGCAACAGCCTCTCAATTGCCACAGTAATAAAATATTATGTGGACAGAAAGGGAAAAAAAAAGCTGTATGCATAGAGGCATCTAAATGTTGGCCACTCATATTCTGTACAGCAGAAACCATCATCTTTGTCAAGTGTGTGACTTGCACTTGTGACATATGGAAATTTGACTTTGAATTTGCCCTAAAACACTGACTTTTTCCAAAGTAATTCCAGTGTCCCTTAGTTTTTCAGTGTTTAAGTGCTGACATCGTTAGCTAGTAATGACCTGAGGGAAAACTGACACATCGACGGTTTTATATAGGATTCATAGCAAAAACAGTGGGAGGGTATAAACTACTGAATAATGAAAGCATTTGTAGGTGTCAGTAGTCTTGGTAATGAGTGGACTGTGCCGAACAGAAAATAAAAAGTTACATAAAGGCGTAGTTGCTTTGCTAAAACAGACTTTGATCCCTCCTAGGTTTTGAATAATTTCAGTTTCACCAGCTGTGATTAGCAAAGGAATGAAATAATTTGACTTGTTTCTGTGCCCTTGTTCACCAATAACTTCTGACACGTAATCTTATAGCACTGGCAGAGGACTGGTATTACTATGGCCCAGTCTGTTGGCATTACATTATGGTTCCTAAAGTTTTATTCAGGAGAGACTTCAGACTTTTGCAATCTAGAAGATTTGTTTTCACTTCTAGTACAGGACGCTTGGAAGAATGAGTGGCCAGAGCTTCTTTAGCTCAACTTAAAAATCACCTTGATGTATGGTTGTTTTTAACCTGCAGTGATTAAAGATGTCTTAAAAAAAAAAAAAAAAAAGATAAAAAGTCTTATTTTCTGGAAGTGTCTTTACTTTGTGGTGTTTAACTTTGGTGACTTTTCTTATCCCTTTGGCTAAGATGTTTGAAGCTGGGAACCTGTTTTAAATATGTTGTATCCATATTTAAAAGTACCCAGCAAGTACCCACTGCTTTTTTTTCCTATTTTACTTGAACAGCAGCCAAAGATGTGCTTCCTTAGACTAGACATTACCTCTCAAGACTAGAGCGTGCTTTGTGAACTGCAGTTTCCATAGAAATGTCAGTAAAGTGCATAATTCCTAAGGGGAAATTCTTCCCTCAGGTATTATGCTGCTCTAGTAAAACCAGTGGAGTTGCATGGTGAGACTGAGCTAACATTTGGTTCAAAATCATCAGGCTTTTTAAGTTTGCTTTGTACATAAGAACCCTTCTTGATACGTGTGTGTGCCTGGTTTCATTTTTAGCAGCTTTGGAATATGCATTAATTTGGGATAAGCCTTTTAGATGTAAGGGAATCCTACAAAAAAGGTTTAAACCAGGTAATGGTCTGTCTTACTCTAATTATAGAGGTATAAACAATATCATTATTTTCGTTATTTGCATATTTTCCGGCCGGGCCATGTCTATGCTAGGGAATAAAAATTCCTTTGTTCCTAATTTGAATAAACTTAAATTCAGGTGGATGTAATCCTAGCGAAGATAAATCAGGCCATGGTTAACAATGTGAATTAAAGACAAGATTTCCCCAAGGCCCCCCCGTCTTTCTGCTAGGAATGGCCTCTCACCAGCAGGTTTTTATCATGATTGAGCTGCAAGAAATAAAAGTCCTGACTCCTCTGTCTTTGACATCAGCTCTAAAACTATTGGAGCCCTGAGGGTTGCAGAGGGTTAATACATTCCTTTTAAAAAAACTTATTAATAAATTAAACTTGTCAAAAAATGCACATAACACGTAAAGATACATCCAGTCCCCTAAAATATATATACAGTTATTTATCTTCCATCAGCAGTGCTCCCTTAACCCAAGTCAGTGTCTGCAATGTCCTTTTTCTCTTCAATCCTTGACAGTTTGTTTTAGTTGATGATAAACTTTTGTGTTTTATCATTTCCATATAATAAACTCCCTCTTTTTCCTCAGTAGTCTGCATAATAGAAATCTTACTATCTTCTCATCTCTGCTTTTAAATTTGAAATTTATTCCCAACTTGTTCTTTAGTATTACCTCTCAGATCTTCCACTTTCCTTCAGCATTCAAAAAAGTTTCTTAAGAATCTCCTGTCTCCAAACCAGAAAGTGTTTTTAGCAAGTTCCAGGATTTTTCACCAAATTTCTAAGTAAGCATCTGTTTTCCCTCTCCTGTTCCCAAAACTTTTGAAACCATTTAGTGATTTTGGGGGCATCAGTTCTCTTCCAGCCTTTGTAGTTATCTTTGCAGCCATTGGAAGATGGGTGATCAATTCTTCCTGACTTTTGTATGTTGCAGAGTTTTCGGGAAGGTTCAGCAAGAACACTAAGGGGTTATATGATAGCTGGCATCCTGATATTTCCCTAACCATATCGCCAGCCTTCTTGCAGAACCGGTTGTTTCTAGGACACATCCACCACATGTGGTAGAATCCTTCCAACGGACTGCACTTCCTCCAACATTTCCTCATTTCTATACTATAGATACAGTATGCTTAATTTTAGGTGGAATGAGTTACCATCAATACAGGATTTTAAAGTAATTTTATTTTATTGTAATGCCGATGGATATGTGAGGACCATTGTACTATATTCTTTGGTACTAATTACTGATTCCAGTATCATTAGTCCACCTTATTATAAACAATGCTTTCTTCTTCTATATGGCTATTTAAAATTGTTTTGTACAACACAGACAATAGGCCTGTGTATTTCATAGGTGTGAGCGATATTTTCTCAAATTCTGTCAAATTTCTACTGAGGTTTACTTTTCTTGGGGAATGTGTTGTAAAGTGGCTCACCTGTAGGTATTGGAAAGATGGGATTTTAATATCACCTGGCATAGGTTGTGTTTCTTTAAATGATCTAAATATATACTTTTTGAATAATTTTCCCAAACTTATGATACTAATTTGTTCCCAGTTATTAAAGCTGCATAATAATAATATTGAATTTAATCCTAATAATTTATGTATAGATGCTAAAGGTGATGGATATGAGCTTAATTTCTTGTATGTGTTATCCCAGGTTTTCAATGTTGTTCTAAAAAAGGGGTGATATATAAGTAAAATATGACTTTGAAGATTTCTTTAGCCATGGTAATATATTAAGTTTGATAGCTGGACAATGTTTGTCCCATCTTTACCAGGAGCTTCTTGTGAATTGGTGTTATCGAGTACACTAAATTTCTAAGTTGGCTGGCTTAATGTTTAATGTTTGGAAGCATCTATCCCCTGCTTTTTCTGAGGACTTTGCAGGATTTCTTTCTTTCTTTTTTTTTAAATCAAGGTTTCTTATTTCCCCAGTAAATTATATATCATAGTCTGCCACTCCTCTAAAATGTGTTGGCACTATAATAGGTAGATTTTGAATTAGAAAATTAATTTGCGCTAGATTATTCATTTTTTGACTGTTGCAATTCCTAACCATGAAATTTCATTTTTTTTAAAACCAAAATTTGTCTATTTTGATGCTTTCTTTCAATCAAAGAAGTGTAATTGGAGCTGTACAACTCCTGTGGTTTTTTTAGTATTCAGCCCTCAGTATTTTAATGAAATAGTTACCCACTTGTATTTATAGTTGTAGCTTATCTCTTTGTGTGTATGTGGTCCTACATCAATGTCTAGGAGATCTTACGTTTTATAGTTAATTTTAAAACCTGAAACTTTGCCATATTTTGTTATAGTTCAGACTGCATTAATTAGTTTTGTAGTGAAAATCATAATAACATCATCAGCATACAATTCTGTAGATTCAGGTTATTTCTGACTGACTGGGCAAATGACTCCATTCCAAAAAGGAGGGGTGATAATGGGCATCCTTAAGGTGTACCTCTTTAAAAAGGATTTTTTTTTTCCTTATAAGTGTCATTATTCTTATGGCTGCACAAGGATTAGAGTATAGAGCTGGTATCCAGTTTCAAAATATTGGTCCTAGTCCAAAAGCATTTAAAGTTTGTAAAAACTGCCACTGGACTCAATCTAAAGTTTTTTCAGTATCCAGTGATTTAAAAACAG